TTGAAACGGACTAGGGAAGAGATAAGACTTAGAAGTACAAGTGACGATGGGTTGGCTCATTTAGATTGTCCTCTACTATCTCCATTTCATATTATAAATCATTTTGACTTTTTTTATCAAACTTTTTCAATTAATTTGACCAAATTTATAGAAAAATATAACAATATTTTCAATACGAAACAAACATACTATTAAAATATATTAAATGTTAGTTTTAATGAAACTATATTTTTATATTTTTATAGATATTGCTAGATTTTTCTATAAATTTTGGCACGGCTAAAATAAAGTGAAACTGACTTATAATATATAATATAAAACGAACGGAGTAGAAAACATCCATCGTGGTCGCAATCCTATGAGCTTAATAGTGTTGTCAGCAGAAATGAAACATAAATCTACTCTCTCCCGTTTCATATTATAAGTTGTTTGACTTTTTTTAAAAGTGTAACCAAGTTTGTAGAAAAATGTACTAATTTTTTCAGTACAAAACAAATATATTATAAAAATATATTCAATGTTAAATTTAATTAAACTAATTTGGTACCGTAGATGTTTCTAGTTTTTCTATAAACTTAATCAAATTTAAGAAAAATGCCAAATTACTTTTAATCTAAAGTATTGAAAGAACTAAACTTTCTTGCAATCTGGTTGGGCCATGTGAGTAAGAAATCTAGTACCATCCAATGTAAAGAAATAAGCAACAACATCCGTTGGATTAATCCTAGTCAAACAAGGAGAGTTTAAAAAGAAGTCTTTGCAACTTGCAGGCAGCCAACGTAGAGAAAAGATTGTAGGAAACAGGAAAACAACAAAAACATGGTCGGCATGGCAAAAAAAAAACTCTTCAAATGTTCTACTCATCTTTCTTATGAAATGCATTCCTACTAAATAAAACAACCCTTTTTAAGAAAATAATAGAAATTTTTCCAGCATTTACTTCAGAAAAGCTACACCCAATTATTAAAATGTTTGCCGAACAAATAATTGTGAATTACAATATTACTACTTGATTAAGAAAAACTATTGAGAATACCACCTTAAAGACAATCCTTTTCACCACATAAATTAGATTTTTCATTAAAAAATAAGCCCAATGCATAAATAAAAAAAATTTAATCCACTCGTGACTATAATAACTTCTCCTTATTATGTACTGTCAGTTAAAAAGCCACGCAAACGCGCCACTAAGTGGCTAGTATGAAACGGATAGAGTAAGGCTGCGTTTAGTTTCACCGGCAAAAAATTTGCCCGGTCACATCAAATATACAGACACACATTTAAAGTATTAAACATAGACTAATAATAAAACAAATTACATAATCCGCATGTAAACTGTGAGACGAATTTATTAAGCCTAATTAATCCATCATTAGCAGATGTTTATTGTAGCACCATATTATCAGATCATGGCGCAATTAGGCTTAAAAGATTCCACTAGTAGAGAAACCATCTTTTGGTCGGTCGACCCAAATCCACAATAGTCCCGCATCCACTAAAAACCGGGACTAAAAATGATTTTTAGTCCTGGTTTATAAGAGGATGATATTTAGTCTCGGTTGTTGTTACCAACCGGGATTAAAAATCATCTTTAGTCCTGGTTGGTAACTCCAACCAGGACTAAAGATGGAGGGACTAAAGATCAGATGATCTTTAGTCCCGGTTGATTCCATGTCAGACCGTATCAGGGCCCTAGGTTCTTTAGTCCCGGTTAGTAACACCAACCGGGACTAAAAACCTATTTTTAGTTTCGGTTAATGTTACTAACCGGGAATAAAAATCAAAACACACTATATAATCCCTATTACTGATCCTCTTTTCCCGTCCACACAACAAACTCCTCCCTCTATCTCTTTTTTCCTCTCTAACTTATTTATTTCCTTATCTCTAACTCCTACCTTCTCTTTCCTTTTTTTTCCTTCCATTCGTCACAACGAAGCAGACAGGGGGCCGGTGAGGCGGCACGGGGGGCCGCGCGGCGGCGACCAGCGTGGGGGCCTGCGCGGCGGCGGCGGCGGCGGGCGGCGCGGAGGGGAGGAGGGGAGGCGGTAGTGGCCGGCCGGCCGGCTTTTCCTTTTTTTTTCTTTTTTTTTTACAATTTATGATTTATCCTATGTTGTATTTGATTTGTGTGTGATGGGAATCTGTGATGTATTTTTTAGAACTTGTGATGTAATTTTTTTAAGAGTTTGTGATGTATTTGGAGATGATCTATTTCGGGAATGCTCTATCCTGGTCGCCCGGCGCGGGGGGAGCCGGATCGGGCGCTCCCCCCGTGCCCCCTCCCCCACGTGCGTATTTGGGCCCACTCAATTCTCCCTCTTTTTTTTCACAAAAGATGTTTCACCTAGTGTATTTATAATGTTTCACTATTTATAGATGTAATGTTACAGTGGATTAAAATACTCTTTTGCAACAAAAAAACCCACATATTTTGGAAACTCTCTATTAAGGGAATTTGGTTTATTTTTTGTTCCACCAAAAATGTTTCACCTAGTGTACTCGCAATATTTCACTATATACAGATCGAATGTTGCACTGAACGAAACATTCCATTGCAACAAAAAAAACCCACATATTTTGGAAACCCCATATTAAGGGAATTTCGTTTATTTCTTGTTCCACCGAAAAATATTTCACCTAGTGTACTCACAATGTTTCACTATGTATAAATCTAATGTTGCAGTGAACTGAAACATTCTTTCGCTATTTGCTGAAACATTGTTTTTACATAAGGTGAAACAACACCCAATTTAAATGAGTGAAACATTTTCGATCTGCTTAGTGAAACAATTATGATATATCTAGTGGAACATCGTGCAACATTTAAAAATAATTAAATAATAAGATAAATTTTTTTTCGTCGGAATATATCCATTTGTGGTCTTGTTTTGAAGATTTAATTGTAACGAATTTAATGGTGCAACCGGATCATGATTTGGATAAATAATTTAAGAGATAAATCAGTTTAAAATAATTTTGCACGTAAATCGGGCGCTGACATCATGCTGACGTCAGCGCCCGATTTTACCCCCTCCCGATCGGGCGCCCGACCGGGAGTCATCTCGAGGATTTGGAGATGTTCTGTGATATGTGATGATTTGGATTTGGGATTTCTTGGCATGATTAGGGGATGGTGTGAAATCAATATTCAATATGAAAAAGAGAAAAAAAGAAAAAATATCTTTAGTCCCGGTTGGTAATAATAACCGGGACTAAAGATGCTCCCATCTTTATTCCCGGTTGTTGTTTGAATTTGAACCGGGACTAAAGAAAGCGATCTTTAGTCCCGGATTTGTTGTCCCGGTACAGAGGGGTTACGGACCGGGACTAAAAAGCACTTCTCCACCAGTGTTCGTCTCGCAATTTGCACGCTAACTGTGAAATTAGTTTTTTTTTAATATTTCATACTCCGTACATGTGTTCAAACGTTCGATGTGACGGGAAAAAAAATTTGGGAATGCTATGTACCGGAATCCCGTCCGGACGGAACCCTTACTTATTCAAAGAGGACTGATACCTGATCATGCACGTCCCGAGCAGCAGCAGCAGCCTATGCAGGACACGGTGCCGCTCCAACACACACGCATGGCCGACATGGGCGGCGGCGCTGCGGCGCCAACGCCCGCACCGTCAACGCACTACCCCGCGACCGTGAGCTCCTCGGCGGCGACGCCGGCTGTGGCGCCCACGCCCACACCATCGACGCACTGCCCCGCGACCGCGAGCTCCTCGCCGGCGCCGGGGAGGAGCCTAGCGCGGACGCGGCGGCAGATAAGGAAGTAGAGCGCGAAGGTGCTGCCCTCGCCGCCATCATCGGCGCGGAGCACGACGAGTACGTACCTGGCTAGCTCGTCGAGGCGGTGGAGGATGCGGCCGCCGGCGACAAGCTCCGACGTGGCGTGAACGGTGGAGGATGCGGCCGTCGGCGACGAGCTCCTGTGTGGGGCGTGGATGCCGGAGGATGCGGCCGCTGGCGACGAGCTCCGACGTGGCACGGACGGTGGAGGATGTGGCCGCCGGCAATGAGCTCTGGCATGGGACGTGGACGGTGGGACCACCGGCGACGACGCTTTGGTGCCTAGCTCCTGATATCTAGTAGGTATCGTCTGATACCTCGCAAGTATCACCTTCTACGTGATAAGAATCGCATGATATCTGATAGGTATCATCTGATACCTCACAAGTATCACCTGATACGTGGTAGAATCGCATGATACCTGATAGGTATCACCCGATACCGGTTAGGTATCAGGACCTGATACCTCGCAAGTATCACCCTCTATGTGGTAAGAATAGCATGATACCTAATAGGTATCATATGATACCTCACAAGTATCACCTGATATATGGTAGAATCGCTTGATACCTGATAGGTATCACCTGATACCGGTTAGGTATCAGGACCTGATACCTCACAAGTATCACCCTCTACATGGTAAGAATCGCATGATACCTGATAGATATCATCTGATACCTTGCAAGTATCACATGATATGTGGTAGAAACGCATGATACATGTTAGGTATCAGAACCCGATACCTAAGCGGTATCATCCCGTTCAAAAAACGGGATTCCGTTGTATAGCAGCCCCAAAAAAATTTGCCGGTGGATCTAAACACCCCCTAAATCTTAACCAGAATATATGGATGTGTCACTTTCTGGAGACAAATGTGTATCACCAGGGTCCTACACTCGATCCCAATTTCCCAACACCAAACACCAGGGTCGAACACGAAAGCGCTAGCGGCAGATTATAATTTGTACAACACCGTGGGTAAGTGGCCGTATTTTATCGCGTAATCTATCTGATCAAGCCAACGATTAGTGGCATCTTCCTTCGGCATCTCACTTTTGTACGGTGATGTCAACGCCCCCCGGCCATTTCTTTAACCCCTCACGTCGCCGTCACCACTCACCACCACCATCGTCGTCTACCTCGCCACCTGTATATATACAAAACCAGCTAAAATATCATCAATCCACGGCTGCAAGCTCGTTCGTCGGCTGCTTCTGCTAGCGTGCTCGCTCGCTCGCTGCGGCGACAATGGCTCCGATCGGCGTGCTCACGGCGCTGGACCAGGCGCGGACGCAGTACTACCACTTCAAGGCCATCGTCATCGCCGGCATGGGACTCTTCACCGACTCCTACGACCTCTTCTGCATCGCGCCCGTCATGAAGATCGTGGGCCGGGTGTACTACTCCGACGGCGGCGCCCGTCCGGGGGTGACGCCGCCGGCCGTCGTGTCGGCGACCGTCGGAGTGGCGCTGCTGGGCGCGGTGATCGGGAACGTGGTGTTCGGCGCGCTGGGCGACCGCGTGGGGCGGCGCCGCGTCTACGGCGCGTGCCTGCTGCTGATGGTGTGCAGCTCCGTCGGGAGCGGCTTCTCCGTGTGCCGGACGCGCCGGTGCGCGCTCGCCAGCCTCTGCTTCTTCCGCTTCCTCCTCGGCGTCGGCGTCGGCGGCGACTACCCGCTGTCGGCCACCATCATGTCGGAGTTCGCCAACCGGCGCACCCGCGGCGCGTTCATCGCCGCCGTGTTCTCCATGCAGGGGTTCGGCATCCTCGCCAGCTCCGCGGTCACCATGGCCGTCGCCGCCGCCTTCGACCACTACACCGGCTACCCCGCGCCGCTCGACACGCCGGAGTGCGCCGACCTCGCCTGGCGGATCATTCTCATGGCCGGCGCCGTCCCCGCCGCGCTGACGTACTACTGGAGGATGTCCATGCCGGAGACGGCCAGGTACCAACTATACTTGGGCCGCTGACATGTGGTCCCAGATGTCATTCATGCATTGGCTTCCTCCGTACCTTTGACTTCACAGCAACCATTTGAACCTTAAAAAAATCTTAAATAATAGTATTTGATTGGTAAATTAGATTAAGTGTACATGGACCGTGTTAAACAAATGTGATAGATAAGGAATATACCAAACGAGATTCCAAGAACAAATTCTGAGAGGAAAATTTATCCTTGATAAGTATGCTAATTGCCTGGCACTGGCAGCTCCATGGTCAATTAAGCTTCCTTCTCTTCGTTGATGCCGAAAATTTCAAATGGATAGTTTAGTCGGAATATTAAATAATTGGGCATGTTTATCGTCACTGCCATCGTTAATTAGCACTAGTACTTATACATTATATATCCCAAAAGAAAATGTCTACACATACGAATAGCGTATACGATTTGTGTTCGACTAGTGCAAAGCTGCTACATGCCTAGACCCACATGGAAAGATATTGAGAGTGTTGATCGGTGGTCCTAGACCCACATGGAAAGATGTTGAGAGTGTTGATTGGTGGTCGGATGTGAGTCGTACAGCTCCAGTCAGACGTATAGCAGAACTCATCACGAAATTGTCTCTAGCTACTCTTTGATTTGCTAGGTGTACTGTCATTGCTGATGTCAGGTCTATAAATATGATTTTGATTTTTGATTAGTGGCACAGTGTAATTGCACATTTAACCCCTTTGCACTCTAATCAATAAAATTGCCCTTTAACTTTATGCTGAAAGTTGCTATAAGTGAGTAGATTAATTACAAAAAAGGGAATTAAGCACGTACTAATGGTTAATGACGAAAAAGTAATGACCGTGCATAACGTTGTATTTGTGCTGCCAACGAGCAGATATACGGCTTTGGTGGAGCGCGACGTGGTGAAGGCCACCAACGACATCGGCCGCGTTCTGGCCGACCTCGACCTGGGCGCCGTCGCCGAGGAGGAGGTGGCGGCGGCGTTGAGCCGGCCTCCGCCGCCGCCGCGCCCTTCGTACGGCCTCCTCTCTCGGCGCTTCGTCCGGCAGCACGGGCGGGACCTGTTCGCGTGCGCGGCGGCGTGGTTCCTCCTCGACATCCCCTACTACAGCAGCACGCTGTTCCAGTCTCAGATCTACCGGCCGCTGTTCCCGGCGCCGGGGCTCATCAACGCGTTCCAGGAGGCGTTCAACGTGGCCAAGTTCCAGGCCGTCATCGCCGTCGCCTCCACCATCCCGGGCTACTTCGTCGCCGTGCTCCTCATCGACCGCGTCGGCCGGCGGTGCCTCCAGATGGCCGGGTTCCTCCTCATGGCCGTCTTCCTCTTCGCGCTCGCGGGTCCGTACGACGGATACTGGCGCGACCACGGCGCGCACGCCGGCTACATCGTGCTCTACTCGCTCACCTTCTTCTCCGCCAACCTCGGGCCGAACACCACCACCTTCATCCTGCCGGCGGAGCTCTTCCCGGCGCGCTTCCGGTCGACGTGCCACGGCCTCTCCGGCGCGGCGGGGAAGCTCGGCGCGCTCGTCGGCTCCATCGGCTTCCTGTGGGCGTCGCAGCAGAAGGACGGCGCGGCGGCCGGGCACCTGCCGGGCATCGGCATGATGTACGCGCTGTTCGTTCTTGGCGGGATCTGCCTGCTCGGGCTGGCACTCACCTACGTGTTCACGCCGGAGACGATGATGCGGTCGCTGGAGGAGAACGAGAGCGACAGGGCGCAGACCCAGGTCGGCGACGGCGGCAGCGACACCGAGGCGGCCAAGAGCCCGGCGTCCATGGCGAGCTCGCACCTCAGCATGTCGCCCATCCTTCCAGCCCGGGTCTCCGTGTGAGTGAACTCGATCATCGTCGGAAAGCGAGAGTGCTTTTCCTCACTATTTGTGCGTCAGAGAGAGTGCATGCTGTCGAGATGTCGATGCATGCATAAGCATGACTTGTGTACAATCTCATGGACTCACACTATATGCAAATACATGTAGGATATGCATATTCAGTTTTGCTAGCAATGCATGTTTCTGATGTTGGCCATAAACCCTTAATCTACACTCACGCGAGTAGTGGACAATGCCTGAACAACGGACGAACACCTTGCAAGCACTGAAAATACCTTGACGATGAACACGAGTTTTGGCAACGCGTAACTTGCCGGCTTTTCTGTTTCATCCTCTCTTATATTTATAGTATGAATACAATGAAGAAGAAGTGGCCTTGGTGGCCTGAGACATATGCGTCACGATCGGATCTCCACAAGCGCCGTCCCACACTCCCACTTGTTAATTCGCCGGTGGTACGCGACTTGGAAGTTCTAGCTTCGCCACCAGACCCAGGGTCCTGGGCCAGCTCCACTCAACCAGAGGAAAAGGAAGTTAACAAACTCCTACTCCCTACATTATGCCACTTTGAAGAGTGGGTTTCGCTGCAATGCCACTCCACAAAGCAGCTTCGTTAAAAAGCCACTCCCAAGCGATGCCAAACCTTTATTTTGCCATAATCGCCAGTTCACTTCATTTCCACCATTTTTCGTACCCAGTCTAACCAAAATACCCTTCGGTCCCTTCTCCCTCCCGGCGGCCACCACCACTAATCAATGCCATTGGCGAGAGCTCGAGCGCGCAACACCACGCAGTAGCCTCCCCCAACCTCCACCTCCTCCTCCTCACTTCTGTAGGAGTAGAGGCGTAGAGCCCAGCGCAAGGAAGGCGGCGATTGATTTGACCAAGATTGGTCGCCCGCGCCGTCTGGTCTGAGAAGCCCGCCACTACGGATGGCGGTGGTGGTGGGGGGATTGCACGCGTCTCCACCGGCGGATTCTGCTGCTGTGGCGGCGGTGGCGAAGGATGCGGAATACCAGAAGGGTGTGCAGAAGCTAGTGGACCTATGGTCCAAGCTGAACCCGGTTGCCAGGGAGTTCATCCCCTCGTCGGCGGCGGTCTCGTCACTATCTAGGAAGGCGCTGTCGGAGGATGCGCCGGTGTTCGATTACAACTCGATTGGAAGCTGGAACCGGGGCGGCAAGGAATCCGGCGTAGACGCCTACCAGCAACATCGGGTAAAAGAAAAAAATATCGGAGTTAAAACTCTTTGATGTTCTTGAGAAACTGAATTGGTTGGTTGTGATTGTGCCTGTGTGGAGGATTTGGTTGTTTATTTGATTATTTCTTTTCAACAGCTTGGTAGGTAAAGATTGGATTTTTTTCCCTTGTGTTGGATTGCATTATCGGTTGATTCTTTTTTTTTTTTTACAATGGTGGCCGCCGGGAGCTCGAGGAAGAAATGACTGAAGGGTATTTTGGTCAGACCGGGTGCGAAAAATGATAGAAATAGAGTGAATTGGCGATTATGGCAAAAGAAAGGTTTGGTATCCTTTGGGAGTGGCTTTTTAACTAAGTCACTTTGTGAAATAGCATTACAGCGAAACCCACTCTTCAAAGTGGCACAATGTCAATTTTCTCCTCAATTTCATACCGTAGGTCCATTTGACTTTTTAGCAGTCAAACCTTTCTAAGTTTGATTAAGTTTGTAAAAACATATAGCAATATTTTTTAAAATATATATCCTAACAAAATATAATCAATGTTATATTTAATGAAACTAATTTGGTATTGTAGATGTTGCTAAATTTTTCTATAAACATAATCAAACATAAATAAATTTAACTAGATTAAAGTTAAAGCGACTTATAATATGAAACATAGGGAGTATAACTAACAGAGATTCCTAGGGAAAAGATAAACACATGTGCATGATTACAAATTACAAGCAACAACTTAGATTTCCCCGACTATCAATCACCCACTCCCGGTTGCCTAAACTTTCGAGGGGACAAACAGGAAAAGGGGTTGATGACTCTACCAGCTATGTGCGACACCGACAGCCCAAACTTGGGTTAGCTTAGGGGCAGAGATGGAAGAGATCGATTTTAGAGGAAATCCATGTTGGTGTGGTGGCCACAACATGGTAGCGAGGTGTTGGTGTCGCTGCTGTGGCCGCTAGGAGAGGAGGATGACAGTAGGCTAGAGTTGGTGGTGGTTAAACTCGTCAGAGTGGTTATATATGAGGTGGGAGCGGTAGTGTACTGGTGTCTAATCCAACAATACGAGCCGTTATAGATGTGTGAGGATTGAATGAGAGCTAGAGAGAAAGATGTAATCTTAAACTGGACTAGGTTGTTGTAATCTTTTATGTTTCGTTTCATTTATTATCAATAAAGTTTTTGAACAGCGCGGCCTCCCCTTCTGTGATCCTTTCAAAAAAAAAAGGGACAAGTGAGGAGAGGTGGGGCAGGTTCTCGTGAGAGAGAGAAGGAACAAAACTATTGAATAGGGGATAGCCACCCTTTGCAAAATCAATGCATCCAACAATATATTGGAAAAATTTTCTAATTATTCTTACATGTTATCTATTTTCCCATCTCAAAGTAATTTCACTTTTCACCATCTTATTTATCCAAAATAACTTCATATTTTTAAAAATCGTTGCATTGGAGTTTGAAAAATGGAGATAAATACATTAGGATCAGGTAAAGCGAGAGACAATTGCATTGCACTAGATAAAGTAGGGACAATTACATTAAGACTAGATAAAGTACAGGGCATTCTCATCTTTTGCTCTCGTGTTGTTGATATGCGTGCAATGGGTGAAAATGAAATTATTTTGAGTTTGTGATAGTAAAAGTATGAACAAAAGATAGATTAATATATGATATATTACCCTACAAACGTGCAAGTTTAAATTTAACCTCTAAGTTATAAAAGAATTGATATCACATATTAATCAATCTTGTCAACAAATTTAAAAGATATATAGATTTGCAAGAAACGAGATGGCATTCTCTCGAAAGTTCTGGGAGAGAATAAGTACTAGCTCCATCCCAAAATATAACAACTTAGATTCATAGCTAAAAGTGCTTGTATTTTAGGCAAGGATTTAAATAACCAGCTATAGCTGCCGCTATAGCTGGAGATAGCTGCTAGAAAGGGAAGCAGCTAAGAAATACCACTTTTGCCGCTACATAATGTATGACACTAATAGCCGGGATTAGCGGAAGATAGCCGCTAATTTTGCCCTCAGTTAGCGGCATATAAGCTTTGGTTTTGGGCTCAAATTAACTACGGGCCAAGGCCCATCTACTTCTCATGTAAAGCTGTAGTCCTAAGTCCCTAACCCCCATCTCTCTCTTCCTCAGTCCCTCACTCCCTCTCCTCCTCTACAGGCGACAGCGGCGGCTGCGCCCGGACCCGGAGACGGCAGCGGTAGCTGCGGCTGCGTGTCACGGCGGCTGCAGCCTTGCCCGGAGGCGGCAGCTGGGCCTGGAGGCTACGAGCCTGCGACGGCGGCGGCTACGCCCGGATGCTCCGAGCCTATGACGGCGGCGGCTGCACCTAGAGGCTGCGACGGCGGCGGCCCACTCGTCCTCTCCCCCAAGCGTCACTCTTCCTGATCTCCCCAAGCGGCACAGACACCATGTCCCAGCCAGAGACAGCCAAGCTTTTCTCTAATTCTCTGATACTCCATATTGATGTTGTGTTTGAACTTTGAAATGAGAATATAAGATCAGTAGATCACCAATGCAGTCTTTGTTTTTTTAGCTTGTAATCCTCTGAAATTTAAAGTTAGTATGTTTTTGACAATCTGAATCTGCAACTACTAGCTAGTAACTTATCCTGATCTTGAATATGCAAGTAGTAGCAAGAAATTTCAGTATAATGATGACCTAATTATCCTTTTAGGCTGTGACTCATGTCCAATTTTTACAAAACACCTAAATGGCAGCTATAGCCCGCTATAGCTGATCATAACCGTTGAAAGCCCAAGCAGCTAAAGGCCTTAACCATCTATTTAAATCCTTGATTTTAGGACGGAGGGAGTATATATTATGGGAGAAAACCTAAGAAGCACTCTGAAGAAATTGGCGTTTCTGCTCCTCCTGTCAATCCAAAGGATGACAAGCCTCTGTTTTCTACCCTTTTACCTTTGAGAAATTTCATGTTACTTGGTACTATATACTAATAGGTACTCCCTTTTTAACGTATGACGCCGTTAACTTTTTATCAACGTTTGACCGTTCGTCTTATTAAAAAAGTTACGTAATTATCATTTATTTTATTGTCACTTGATTTATGATCAAATATTCTTGAAGTATGGCATAAATATTTTTGTATTTGTACAAAAATTTTGAATAAGACGAATGGTCAAACGTTGTTCGAAAAGTCAATGGCGTCATACATTAAAATACGGCACGGAGGGAGTACTACTTTCTAGTACCAGAGATATTAAGATTTTACTTTAGAAAATATTGTCTCTCTCGACTGGAACAGCGTGCTGCTGTAGTAGGGGATGTCGAGGAGGAACCACGCCGCCGCGCACGCGAACAGGTCCCGCCCGTGCTGCCGGACGAAGCGCCGAGAGAAGAGGGCCGTACGAAGGGCGCGGCGGTGGAGTCGGCGCCGGAGGCGGGCTCAACGCCGCCGCCGCGCCACCTCCTCCTCGGCGACGGCGGCCAGGTCGAGGTCGGCCAGGACGCGGCCGATGTCGTTGGTGGCCTTCACCACGTCGCGCTCCACCAGCGCCGTATACCTGCTCGTTGTACGTTAAGTACGGTGATTAGCTTTTTGGTGGTTTGGTGATGCTTAAACCCTTTTTGTTCTAGTTAATCACACTTGCTAAGCTACTTCTTGCATAAAGCTAAAGTGCAAATTAATTGTGCAATAGAATTGACTGCCACTGAATATATGCTGAGCTGACATTAGCAATGACACAGACGCGTGTATGAGTGATTAGTTCTAGATAATCAACGTATGCATGCTTATTGCTCACAAGAAGATGCATGTGTGCTTGAGCTTCTAGAACTTCGTAGCCAAAGGCAACTTCATGATACTAGAATTTACTAGCAGTATAACTTAAGCCTACAGAAAAGAAACAGCAATTGACCATGCATAGATATATGACAGTGTCATAGTGACAAGGAACAGACTAAATATTCATTTAAGATTCCAACTAGACAATAAATTATTGCTGCAATTTTCGCCATTAGAGAAGAAAAGAAGACTTTCATTAATCACGCGAACTGCCGGGTGATTAGCATACTCAGTTTCTTCTCTGATGGTGTTAAGGATGAATTTGTTCTTGGTATCACGTTCGGTATATTCTTCCACTATCACTA